GTGGTGTTGGGTTCAATATGGGTTTTATTTATACACGACAGTGTCAAGTTACTAGTAAGTACCCACATGAAATGTTTATACGCAGTTGTTGCGATGGTTTAAAATTAAATTAACAGGTTTATAGTTTACTGTTATTTTATATAAACTGCCTTAAATGCAACATGCCTATGAATTTTTTGGTTCAGAACACTGTCACAGACTATTTCAGAAGTCTCAGAACCTAGTTAGTAACCAACAAGCTCACTTTCCGCTACTGCAGTATATTATTGCTAGATGTTTCAGCCTTGCCCAACCGATTTTAACTACTATTGATATATTTTCAGCAAGTCAGAATAAGAAAATCCATTTCGCAAATTTGCACAATATTCAATAAGTATCTAGTCAAACGAGAGTCAGATGCCCAGATTCGCAAGGAGCAACATATATGATATATTTTCTACATTAGCTACACCAGCGACCTGGCATTGGCTGGCAACTCTTGATTCACCTCAATCAGAAGCTCGGTAATGTAAAATATCTCCGTCTGTAAAATATCTCTGTTAAATCGGTCTAAACTCGCGTTAATTAAAGAATTAGAAGCAGAGAAATAATCGATATTCTTATTAAATCGCCATACAAAGCCATAGTTTTCTATATGAACAACACCTTCGAAGCACGCAATGACGTCAAAAATGAGGGCGCTGGACAAATCCGAGTCTGCAATGAAAAGAACAACATGGCGCCCAAATTTGACAAAATCGCCAACTTTGACAAGCAATTTCTCCTTTACTATTAATATTTAGACCGAAATACTTGAGGAACATTCTAATAAGGGTAAGACCTTTCATATAAACCACACTTGTATTTGGACTGGAGTTCCCCTTTAAGGTAAGTTTCGTTTAATTTTAAAATTATTCGACTATACTATAATACTTACTAGTACTATCAACTCTCGGCGGATATATAGGTCGATTTGTGATCGAAAAAGATATGCCTTTTTACTGTGTTGCAGCTAACTGTACCAATAAAGCATGTTTAAAAGATGGAATAAGTCTACACAATATTCCATACTTCAATGACGAGCACGCGGAAGCTAAAAGACGAAGAAAAGTATGGGTTGATCTTGTATGCGCAAAGCGTTTGTTTGTGCCGTCAAAGACTTCGACTGTATGCTCGGATCATTGTAGAACAGAGGATTACGAGAGCAAATTTTTTCGTTGCCGGGGCTCGGCAAGCCTTACTATCTGAAGCTAATAAAGACTGACGATGATTTGCTTTGTTTTGATTATTCAATTTGCAACTGTATTTCGGTTTTGCGGGCCAGCTATATATATATTTTGTAATATAAATATTTTGTAATACCGAAATAAAAGATGCAAATCTGAAGACACAAGCTTGAAAATAACACTCTAAATAGTGTTTTGGATTCCGGTTCGAATAAGACTTTTACGAAAAAGATATATCCAAAGGGGTCGAAGTTATGGTCGGCTAAAGGTATGGGCCCGTATGGCTACTTTTGTTCGAGACTAATTGAGTAATATAATGAATTATGACACCGCTTGACCTCTCAAAGGTCATAAATAGCTATTTGACTACAATTTGACTAAAACTATATTTGTCTAAAACTATCATTAGAAATAAGGAGATTTTGTTTCTCTGACTCAAATGGTAGTAATTCTGTCTTCATAGCATGCACCGAGCCGGAGATATGAACTTTGCAAAGTCATAGAACGTCTACGTTAGTAGGAAGCTTATTAAAGATGCGCCAAATCTGAGACATGGCGCGACTAAAAACAATCGCTAATATAAATGGAAGACTAGTTTTACTTTGTTTTTCTCGTGTCCCTGACTTTGTTTACAGTTTTTATCCGTGAAGTAACTGTGATAATAGCGGCAGTTTTTCGTCACGTCCGCGTCGCAGATTTGGTAATATTAATGATACCACTAGAGACCTGACGAGATGCTACAGATCAGCATTTTCCAATACAACATTTAACCGGACTGATTCTGTTGACATGATACTTTATAGAACTTAGAATATAAAAAGTTAAACACTTCATCGATCATTAGCCAAAAATATTTGGATTCAAACGGCTCTAAAATTTTTTCGTTTTGATGAAATCGAAAAATTCTTTCGCTAGAACACTATACTAAATGAATAATTTCAATAGACTGAAAAAATTTTTGTGTCAGGGGCACTTTAAACGGTTTAAACAGTTTTATTATTATAATTATTATTATTATTAAACGGTTTATTAAAATCAAATTACCTCGCATTACTTCGAATTACATGATTTTTACAATAGTTATATTAAAAAATATATAACTTTACAATTAGATCTTACTGAGGATAAAAATACTGAGGTAAAAACATTATAAATGTAGAATAAAAAAACTATAATTTGACTAGATCTAGGAGACTTGATATAATGTAAGTGTTTTTAAATCTATTTGTATTACACCTTGGAATATTAAAAAAAATTGGATTTCTTAAGTTGTAAGTATTTGAATGCTTTGTAGGTAAGAGATGGTGAATTTTATGATGTTTGTCATGCACTATTGATTTGAAGACTTTAGTACATAATCCTTTCCTTCTTGTCTTCAAAGTTTCCATATCTAATTCTTCAATGGCTTCTGAATACGACAAGTCCGGACATATGATGTGCAAAGCTCTCTTCTGAATCCGCTCTATTTGGTCTGAAAGCTATTCCGTGACAGGGTAATGAAATACTTGACATGCTTAATCAAGGATAGATCTTATAGAAGCAATGTAGAAACATTTTAAATCATTGTCACTCAGACCCGGTCTCTTTAGTCGTTTCATCAGATACAATCGCTTCGCTGCTTTAGTTGTTATCTTATCCACATGGGCATCCTACTTCATGTCATAAATGATCAATAAACCGAGAATCATTGCTTTTACAATACGCTCTACTTTAAGTCGATCCGTTTATCTTTATCGGCGGAAAAACAGAGTAAACAGGTTCATTACGTTGAAAGTTAATCGTAACCTCCTTGCATTTAGTCGGGTTGAGTTAAATATATATTCAGAAATATTAGTGTCGTCTGCATATTTAAAACATATAACCTCCAAAATCATCAGATGGGATCGAAAGATCGTTAATCATAAGGCGAAATAGCCATGGGCCCAATTTGGTTCCGTGAGGAACTCCAGCATTTATAGGCATGGCCAGAAATCGAGGTCAGCCAGCGGGTTGACCTGTGGGCTCAAAATTTCAAAATGGCGGTTCGATTCTATAAGGGGAGCTATTGCAGAATATACCCGTCCACTTCTAAATACTTCACTTGTTATCATAACACGCGGGCAATAACGCAAAATATAGCTTACCCACGCTTTATAATAGCGTGAGTATACAATTATTACGTAATCATTTTCACTTCGTATCATCTTGTCATGATAATTACAAGTGAGGTCTTCAAATGTAGACTGGTATTCTGCAATCGCTCCGACGCTCCTATGCAAAACACTATATTTAGCTATATTCAAACAAAAATAAACGTAAATACTAATACTGGCCTGGCAACATTAATCCACTTTATTATTGAAATCTCAGAACGAATCTTCGCCAACGCAAACCAAATATATTAAATTTGCCGCGCTTGTTTTTATGAATGTACAAGCAAATTTAAAAATAATACAGCGGTATAGGCCCTGGTAACCTAGTAACAACTCAAAACAACTCAGGAATGTAAAATGGCAGCAAGAAGCGAAGTGGCCCGCATATCTTGCTTGTTTATGCTAGTTTAGCGACTATTTCCCAGCGCTTGGTCGACTAAATTTTGACGAATCTGCGGCATGAAAATGCTATGTTTCAAGGCGTCCGGGAACAGGTTTAAGCAAGCCGTTGAGCCTTTCAATGCTGCTAAAAGGAAAGTATTGTCCACCTCGAATATGCGTAGACGTGGGACCGTGAGAAAAGTCGACCATATGTGGCCAAATTTACGAATTGGAAAACCTCACTTCGGCAATTTTTGTCGATTTATTAGGCTATTATATACAAAGCGAGAAGTAGAAATATAAATCTCTCGGGAACATATCTACGCTACTCGGACTGTCGCCAGATTTTCGGGAGTTGATACTGGCCTTATTTGATAAATTTTTAGACGTGGGACCGTGTAATTTCTTTACGGGATCGAACACAAAATGCGTATGTTGAATTTTCTCTTCTCATACATCATTAGATATTCATAGCATTTCGGCCAATGACTTGGTGTAATTTATATCACGTGTATTTATCTGGATACCCCGTCTAGACCAGGACTTTAATTACTTCAAGTGGGAAGGGCTTTGAACAATAGGGAAATAGAGGGGTAAACAAAAGATTATGCAAATGTATTTAATTGCTATGTTTAGAATTATTTCTAAATACAGTAAGTTGTATTTAGAAATTTTTTCTAACTACACTTTATAGCTAACACTTTTTCTGAACGTTTGAAAACTACATAAATATAGGAAAACCAACTTTTTTACCAACTATCATAATAAACAGCGCTTTAAACACTATAATACAGCAACTTACCAGTAATGTTTACCGTCTAATATATATCGGCTCTTTCATTTTCCACCAGATAGCACCTTATCGCACACACAATCTGATATATCGCTTTTCGGATCTCCAACCTTGTCAGCCGAGCGACAATACTGTGCTCAATACTGTGCTCAACACTTTCTGGTTCTCGAACCGCCTTTTCTTATACTATAAGCTCTTTTGCCAACAAAATTCATCTATTCACGACGAAAGCGAACTGAATGCTTCGTTGCACTTCATGCAAACTTTCAAGCGAATGTAATCGTTAATGCCCACGCCGCTCACTTTTTTGAATATCTAATAATTTAATGCCTCATTGCCATGAAAGTCTAATGATGTGTGAGAAGCAATTTCAAATCCTCGTTAGTGTTTTAAACTTGGCTTCCAAATCCCCAGTGCCATGAACAATGGCTCGGCTGCGCCTCGCCATTGTTCATGGCACTTGTATTTAGAAACCACGTCTAAAACACTAACTCGGATTTGAAATATTACTTATCAAATCTATAGTATGCCGCATTTTGAATTTATTTGGTGTAAGCTTAACGCGCATGCTTGTCAGCCATGTTGTCCTTCATTTCTGGCCATGCTTCCAATCTGAAAAACAGGAGATCTACTACGCAATCAAACACCGATGGTTTAATACCAATTCGCTGCAGTTTCTGGCAAAGAATGTTATGGTCTATTAAATCAAATGCCTTCCGATAATCCGTAGTGTCCAAATGATCAAATGTGTAACCTTGCCGAAATACCCAAAAAGGCCACGACCTCTAAACATGCAGTCACTCTCGAGACCTCTGTTGAAATTAACAAGTAAATCAATGCAAATTTTACTGTATACCGTTTCCAGATAACAACTATTTGGGATAGTAAATGTGTGAACCAAAGGCAGAGCAGAAACTTGTGAAATGAAAGTGCCTTAAGTGCGCCTAAGCGGCAAGCCAGAGAGAACATAAGAACAATAGAGCACATGATCATACGTTTTTATTGCTTCACTTCCTGACTTGTTGCTAGAAAAATATGTTTAGCATATTTTTATAATTTAAGAGCAAACAGAAATCAAATTTAGCAAGTATTTTGACGTATATGTGATTCTAAAAGTTGATTGTACAGAACACTCACTCCTTGCGATCTAAGTGTAAAGTGCAGAGGTGGAAGCATATAATATGA